ATTTTTTGAAAAGCGATTCCGGCTTTAACTGTGATTAGTAAGCATGGCCATGTTCACCTCGTTGTCGAGGGCCTGGGCCAATTAAATTAATAAGAAGGTGTGCCGGAGCCATAAGAGATTAATAGGATAAGGTTAGGTTCTCGTCCTTGGCGCGCTAGTTCTAGATGGCGTAGCTGTTAGTAATGCGCATGCATACAACGTGCGATGTTGCTATTGGTCCTTCAGACCACGTGATAGATGCGGATTGGCGTTCGCTCGCTCGTGCGACGTGATTGGCGGAGTGTGCCCAACAGGATGAGTAAGTGTGCAAAGAGATGTAGAAGTAGGACAGTTCTGTTTGAACCACGACACGTGAAGTTGGAATAAAACCTTGTGTGATATTTTATACCAAGTACAAGAGTCTATTTCTTCGCCCTTCCTTAAGCTATTCTTTAGCTCGTGCAGATAATCCTGTCCTGACACTCAGATTATCCTTACGATCCTGAGAGACGCCATATCATCGTTCCTTTCGGATCTCGTTCCTTTCCTACAAGGAGATTCCTTCTTTCGAGGCATAAGGCGCCAATTCAATTTTTCTCTCCACGCCTTACACTATTTTGAACTCGTTAGTTGCTGAGGTTTGTATGACATTTTTTACCTGGATACGTTTCGTTTCACACATGGGCTCGTTCACATTCCGATTCATGTGCTTCCCAGATATCATATTATCCTTATTTAATATTCGGTAAACAACAATGATAAAGTTATACCTGTAGCATTCAGGTCGAAATGTGAGCATAGCGCATGATGTGCATGATGTATCATTTTATCCTTCTGTAATATTTGGTGAACAACATGGGTAAAATGATACTGTGCATGTAATAGAAAGTATTTCTTGAAAATTAAACATTTGCGTAAAGTCACTAATTTCTTTCAAATAATTTAATTTTAGAATAAAATAACTAATAAAAGAGTTTGGAAATGTGTAATCCCAGGTTGCACATCTCCCGCTAAAGCTCCTGGACATTATTTTCCTAAAAATAAACAATTAATGAAAAAATGGTTGGAAGTAATATCTGTGTTATGGGTATCGAATCTACCAGAAGAAGAAGTTAAAAAATATAAAATTTGTCATTTACATTTTGATGAAAATTCATATATTTTCACTCTACATTGTAGACGATTAAAGCATGATGCTATTCCAACTCAGAATTTGTCAGTTACAACAAATGATTCTGGCATTTCTCAGCTTAATTCAATACAAGTTCAAGAAGAAAATTCATTTGAAATTTACACCCAGTATAATGAAATGACTGCAACAATTACAATCGATTCTTCTCTTGATATATGTCAATCTAATACAAATCAAGAAGAAAGTACTGTTTTGAAAAGCAATGTAAATATTGAAAAAGAAATTCAACAAGAAACACAGCCGTGTGACCTAGACATTCAAAGTACACACAAAAAATTGTCGTTTTATAAAACACGTTCGTAGAAGTATACTTGGTAATATTACTAGAAAAGAAAACTTGACTCCAGTTGCAAGAAAAATTTATACTAAATGCAGATTATTTACAAAACAAAATAATATTTTACGTAAGAGCGCTACTAATTTTAAACAACGATTAAAGTATGCTAGCAAATTTACTAAATGTGCTTTTTGGAAACAGTATTCAGCATTGAGCGATACACAAAAAACATTCTTAAATATGCAAATCACGAATCAAAATAAAAAACGAAAGATACATTTTTCTACATTCTGTACAAAGATAAAATTGGCACTGAAGAGCATATGCAAAGATGAACATAGTCGAATATTCTTACAAAATATAGGTATTGATTTTTCATAATTATTTAGAGATATTCGATTGCCCACATCATTAATTGGCCAATTTAATATAAAATATTATTATTGATAGTATCTCTATTATACTCTATTATAGGAAAACCTATTCTTAGGCCGATGTGTGCTATCGGGATGTAAACTAATGAAATCTTATCTTCTGTCGTAAATCCTGTAATTATAAATATTATACATTATACATATTAAAAAATAAAAATATTTTTTAAATTTATTTGTATAACGTTCGGAATGATACCAGTGTTATTGATGAAACAGTGGATTAAACATCGTAAAGTTGTTATTAAAAGCACAGTTCGCATTAAGTTTCTAAAATTTTGTATTCAAAAGAAGATTATTCCGCAACATTTGTATAGAATTTATCACCTGGATTTAAACTTTTACCGTCCACATATACGTAATAGATATAATAAAGCGAAAAATACATATATCCACAGAGTTCTTAATGTGGAACTCAATGATGCGTTTAGAACACTACATAATTCTGAAAGACAGACGGCAGTCTTAGTGAGAAAGATTTTTAGTTGGATCCCTTATTATCTTTGTGAGTCATTTTTTACAAAACAAAACAATTTTCTGAACTTAAAACATAAAGATGAACTTAAGAGACTTGACAAAAAAATTAATTGGCTGTTTTTTAAACATAATAAAGTAATGATTTCTAGGATTAAACCGATTCAGTATTTTTGGACTTGTTCTAATGAGAATGCTTTTTCGTTTTTTAACAGTTTGACTTCAGGTTCTTTTAACAACAATAATAGTTCCAAAATAGACATAAAACCAGCCTTCTTTTTTAATTTTAATGAACAATCAGCACTGTTTTCAGTTAGGAATAAATGGTTCATTAATTTGTCTAAAATTACCATACCGACTGAAATACAGTGTCTTTTACAATTAGGGGGTAATTTTTCTTTACCTTCATTTAACTTGAAGAAAAATTGCGTTGAATTGATTAAGTCCATCGAAAATAATGTTAAAAGCTTAAGCAATACTTGCGTGTTGGATGTGAGAAATCGTGCAATCTCATTGATACAGAAAATTGCTTTTACGAAACCTGTTAATCATGACATCAATAAAAGACTAACTTTTTTACTTAAAATCACTAAGAGTTTCATTAAAAAGAATTCAAATATTTTATTTACGAGAGCTGACAAGGGTAATGTTACTGTAGCAATTGACCAAGATGAGTACAAACGAAAAATGCTTAATATGTTAGATGATAAGATGATAGTAGCACGTACACAGTAATCAATAGGGATCCAACTAGAAAACTGACTGAATCAGTGAGAATGTTATTGACGAGATGGAAGAATCGTGGGTATATTGATTCGAAATTGTACAAAAGATTGTATTGTAGTGATGGGATCCTTCCCAGAGTCTATGGGCTTCCCAAGATTCACAAAGAGGGGTGTTCTTTGAGAATTATTGTTTCGTGTATTGATAGCCCTCTTTATTCATTAGCTTCATTCTTGCATAATATTATCATGAAGAATGTTCC